ATCAAATTATTTCGATAGTGCAGTATATGTAAAATTAATCAATCACAATGCACTGAGATGGAAAGTAAAAAATGTTGAGAATGAATGTGTAGTATGAACCCTTATCCCAAATGAGTGATATTTTATAACTCAGTAAAAATGATTGTCAATTTGATTTGACAATTCTCTCAGCATTAGGGGAAATAATTAAGAAGCTGAGAATAATATAAAAATGCATCTTTATCTAAATAATCGCAAAAGACAATTCGAATAAGAAGTTAGAAAGATAATTCATTTAGATACATTTACTGACCAAAGAAATTAACAATCTCACACACCAGCTTTAAATGAACCAATTCGAACTGACTCCTAGAAATACAATTCGTTAATATTATATTTGCTAAATTTATGCACGCCTGAAGGGTGTGATATTCGATTTTATTACAAAATCCTTCAAACAAATATGGAACAATTGGTAAAAATGGTCTTATTAATGAGGCATATACTCTTAATGAGTATAACATATTATAAAACCCTAGAAGAGGTTCAGATACCTAAAATAATGAAATTTGGGATATCTTAATAAGTTATATCATTATGTGAAAAGAAAATATAATAAAAAAAGAAAAGAAAAATTTGTCGACAACGGCAACATTTTTGTGCATAATGTATTGCTTCATATAGCGAGGATATCGAAATAAATGTATTGAAGTGTATCAATCGAAGTAATGATTAGGAAAATAAAAGGACGCATGCATATAATTGCCTTATTGAATACTTGTTGAAGAAATGCTATAATAATGACGATGTATGCACATATGTTTTCATAAAGAAAACAAATATTTGATTTGCAATTGTGCAGTTTATGTTGATGACTTCAATTTAATTAGAACTTTTGAAGAGTTCAACAAAATTACAGATTATTTGAAAAATGAATTTGAGATGAAAGATTTGGAAAAAATTAAATTCTGTCTCGGGTTGCAGATTGAACATTTCCGAGCAAGATTATTTGTTCATTAATCTACATATACAGAAAAAGTCTTAAAACGATTTTATATGGATAATGCACATTCATTGACATCACATATGCTTGTTTGATCACTTGATGTAAAAAATGATTTTTTTCGTCAACTTGAAAATGGAGAAAAGATTCTTGGTCCTGAAATATCGTATCTTAGTGCAACTGGAGTATTAACTTATCTTACAAATTGTACTCTATCCGACATAGCTTTTTCTATAAATCTCCTTGCAAGATATTGAAATGGTGTTAAACATATTTTTCGTTACCTAAAGTGTACTATTGATTTGTGATTATTTTATTCTCAAAAGTCGGAATCTGCTTTAGTGGGATATGCAGATGCGGGTTATCACATAAAGCTAAATCACAAATAAGATATGTGTTTACACGTGAAGAAACAACTATATCATGGAGATCTGTGAAGCAATCATTAACAGCAACATCTTCAAATCATTTTGAAATTATTACAATTCATGAAGCAGGTCGAGAATGCGTATGGTTGAGGAATATGACCCATCATATCCAAGTATCATGTAGATTAATTTAACAAAAGATAGTCTAACAATTTTGTTCGAAGATAATGCTGCTTGTATTGCACAACTCAAATGAGGTTATATCAAAGGTGACAAGACGAAGCATATTTCTCCAAAAAATTTTCATACACACGAGCTTCAGAAAAATGGCGACATCAATATTCAACAAATTTGGTCAAGTGATAATGCGACTGATTTATTTACAAAAGCATTGCCGACATCTACATTCAAGAAATTGGTTCACAAGATTGGAATGCGTCGACTCAAAGATTTTCAGCGATCAATATCAGAGGAGTAGTTGTAATTTTTTTTCCTTCACTTAAGTTTTTATCCCATTGGCTTTTCCTGTACTATTTTTCCTTTGTTTTTTTTTTCTTTTTTTGTCCTATTGAATTTTTATCAAACAAGGTTTTAATGAGTCGGATATTTTGTAATGTGTCATTCAAGGGAGAGTGTTGTAAATGGTAAGTTATTGTTGCCCTAGATATTATTACCATATGTATCCATATTCATTTTCTATAAGTATAAGATTTTGGTTCTCATTATAATACATAAAAGTCTATTGACTTTTATTCTCTCATCTCTTTTTCTCTCTTTTTACAACAAATTTAAGGTTAGTTCGGCACATAAAAAAGTGATCATTTGTGAATTTTCAAAAATATGGTTTGATGCTAGGGCTTTATTTTGTATATCATTTAATTATGTCTTTTTCCCCCATCATAGAATTAGTGAAACCTCAATAAGTTGCAAAATTGTTCCTTGGGTCAATAAGTTTGCAATCCCTTTAAATTTACACGGTTAAAAGTGTTCTAAGTCGATTGCAATATTAAACTTATCTATATTTATTTAAATAACTTTTTTTTTTAATACTTTCAACTTGGCTAAAATTATAAGCATCAAATTACTATGATTATACTTATCTATTAATACCGCTAAAAGGAATTATCTTGCGTATTAATCTATAGAGAGTTTGATAGCTTTCCCTCTACACGAAAAATTGCTTATCTTGTTGAAGGAAAGTGGCCAGCTCGTTTTCGCTGAGCACCAAAGCTTCTTTCACTCCTAACTTTCCTCTAGTCTGGTTTAAAAAAATAAAAAGGAAGCCGGTTCGATCATTGGGTAAAATATCAAGATACTCTTTGTATACATATTTTATTATTGCATGACTAGCTCATTTAAAATTAATTTTAACTGTACATTTTATGAGATCCACAATTTTTTAACCATATATTTCATCAATTTTTATCAAAATTCACTAAAAATCTGATATTTATCTAAATCAAGCAAGGGCTAAATATGAGAAAAACTTATTTAAAATAGTTATTTATGAGTTGTGATATTCTACTAAACTATTATTTGAGTTAAAATTTTAAAAGAAATGGGAAAGGTTGACGCGCCTTCAAAAAGGGGATGTGACTAACGATTCACTTTATTATGATTAACTTATAAAAATTATTTATGTTTTTTAAGCCTACCCAAACATGTGCGTTAACTTGCATTGGCAGATCTAGGGGGGACTGGGTTGTGCTACAGCTCGTCACCCACCCAATTCACTTCAAAAAAAAAAAAAAAATTTAAAGTAGAATTTTCTTTTTGTGTAAATTTTATTTTATTTATTATTATAATAGTTTTTTTTTTGCACATTAGTCTGTCTTAAAATTTTTCCTGGATTCGTCCCTGTTAACTCATGTAATATAACCAACTTACGAGTCCCACTCTTGTCGCACGAGATCAACTTGAAATATTGTCTATCTGAACAAACGTGAGAGAAGTGTGTAGTAATAAACATTATTGAGTATATAATGAATAATATTTTTTTTTAATATTGTCTACGAACATTGTTTATGTCAGAACAAGATAATTTTTATCTTCACATAATAAAAATCAGATGTACTAGTGTGTATATTAAGCAAAATCGTGTGAAATGAAATACTTATAACAGATACATCAAATAAACGTCAACTTTTAGAAATTATCGATGTTATCGTAAAAGACATGACAACCTCAACAGCTCAAGAGGCATTTTTTGTACGGACCACATTAATTATATAGGTTGACCGATTTTGCCGGTTATCCTTCAACTAAACACATTTATTGTACACAAGAAAAGACTAAAGAGATGATCAAAGAAAATATGCAATATTGGAAAGAAAATATTTGTGAATGTATTTTCTTTGGGGATTGAGAGGTGTAAATTAATAGCATGTGACGTTGCTTCTTTGTTTTGTGATAAGGGAGATTCCTTAGCTAGCTTCACCCAAAATTGTGTAATTGCGATGACAAATTTTCTTTGAATTTGATAATTTTAATTAAGTACTAAAGAAAATCTACATTTTTGTGATTGTTGGCTTATTAAAGTGAAAGCCAATTGCAAAAAATAAGGAGAAATCAATGAGATAACGCCAATTTAACTTTTGAATTTTTTTAATTGAGTAAGATAAGAAGAGATCGAGAAGTGTCGCTATTTCTTATATTTATGAACACAATTAGGTGAGATATTTTATAACCTTGTTTCCAAGTTTGATTTATGCTAAGTTCATATTAAATTCATCTATTTTTCAAGGTTAAAGGTATTCTTCAGTTCATGATAAATAACTTCAAAGAAAGCAAGACAAAGACATACAAAATTAACGAGTTCTTGATCAACGTCTACTTAAGTTCGCGGGACACAACGATATGTGTGATTGGATCATCTTTTACTTTTAAGCTCACGTGACGCACCTCCTAAGCAACATGTGTCACGAGATCTACTTCTATTTAAGTTCGCAAGATGTACCTCCTAAGCAACATGTGTGACTTGAGCTCGCGGGACACGCCTCTGAGAAACGTGTGTGGCGTGGAGGAAATTGACAGAAGTAATGTTTTTGTCTTTTTTTGAAAAAAAAAATTGGGGGTGGGTTGGGAGTGTAAATTTATATAATTATGCTATTTGTACAAAAAGAACGGTCCAGAAGCATTACAGAAGATGAGTTGGAGGGAAATGTTTGGATAAAAAATGACCGTGTTTTAAATGGTCTAATAATAGAGTGTTACATGACATTATATAAATAATTATGTAAACCCTGATATACACGTAGCAATGTCCAGATTTATATATGTGAGCACTTTTTGGGGTTGTAGCTATTCTCATAATTCCATTGTATTCCTCTCTATCTCTCTCTCTCTCCCCATAAATTTTCTACAATTCTATGTGAATCTTCATTTTGATTCACTTCATTTGTGTATGTAGAAAATTTAATTCGATAATGGGAAGGAAACCATGCTGTCAAAAAGTAGGCTTAAAGAAGGGAGCATGGAATGCCGAAGAAGACGATAAACTCAAGAACTTCATTCTCACAAATGGCCAATGCTGCTGGAGAGCACTCCCTAAACTTGCAGGTCCACCACAATTTTCCATATGCAATATAACACTGTTTCGGTTTTGTTGTCATGGTGGTGAGCGGCTATGGCCGCTAGGAAAGGCGGAAGTACAAGAGGCCTTTTGTTTTGGCTAGAGTTGAACTAATCTAAAAGCTTAAACTGTTAGAGAAAGAACATTTTTAGCTATTCAACTTTTGTCTATAGCGCGTCTTTTCACGTGGATACAAGATTTATGTATTTATCAAATGCTTAACACATGTAGATGGCACTGAGACTTGAACTCAGTACCTTTACCAGTGCTAATATATGTGTCTAATTATTCAAGCTATTAGAGAGGAAACACTTCTTGTTTCTTCAACAGCTAGATAATGTGTGAGAGAGAGAGAGGAGAGTCGTCAAATCATGCGTTTTAGATCAGAAATTGCTTTCTTGATTTCTAAAATATGCTTTGATTACATTGCAGGACTATTAAGGTGCGGAAAAAGCTGCAGATTGAGATGGACAAACTATCTTAGACCAGATTTGAAGAGGGGATTACTATCAGAAGATGAAGAGAAAATAATTATTGACCTTCATGCTAAGCTTGGAAATAGGTCTCCTTTTTTTGTGTACAATTCATTGTTGATTGCATATCAAAGACTTGAATGACTGGTTAAATGCTAGACTGAACAATAATGGACATAATAAAAAGAAGAGAATGGAAGTAAATTGCTTGTTAGTTGTCGTATACAGTCTTGTTCAATGCTAAGTACCGTCAAGTGAAGTGTTGCTTTTTACATTTTTAGTGGACAATGGCTATTTTGCAGATGGTCCATGATTGCTTCTCATCTCCCTGGAAGGACTGATAACGATATAAAAAATTACTGGAATACACACATCAAGAAAAAGCTGAGGAACATGTTGATTGATCCTATGTCCCAAAACCCCTTGCCACATACCACCACCCCTCCACTGCCTCTGCAAGAACAGACACAAAATCCCATGGCGGGACAAGGACCACCGTCAGACGCGGTGGATCAAAACAAGGACAACGAGACCTCAGTGCAACCCACCATTACAGAGGGCGAAGATGGAGACAAAAACATTGCTTCAAGCCCATTAATGGAGGTTAGCAATGAGTTCTGCATAGATGAAGTCCAACTGATTGAACCCCATGAAATTTCTGATCCTTCATCACCATCATTTTCTTATATTCTTGAGTTTCCTCCAAGATTACAGTGACATCTTAATGAATATCTGAATAAGGTGGTTCTTTCCGATGTTTGATATACGCTCGCAAGTGACGTACTTTATTCACAACACATGAGGAAGTAGAAAGTCGAAAAATTTGGAATTATATTAATGGAAAAAAGTTACTCATCACATCTTTGTGCGAGAATTGGAGAGTATCAAAATCTTGTTCATTATACTTTTTATCTCTTGGGATCTGTTTCTTTTGAAAGTTCCTTTCTCTCTGCATAAATTTTCTTTCATTTTTCTCTCTATATTGATCACTTAATTTTTATACACTCTGAATTGAAGATGGGAAGCCAAGAATGCTTTGAGAAAGTTGGTTCAAAGAAGGGATTCTGGACTGCCGAGGAAGACGAAAAGCTCAGAAACTTCATTCTCGAAAATGGGCAATGCTGCTGGAGATCCGTCCCTAAACTTGCAGGTCCATCCACAATCTCCAAATGCAATCAGCATAGCATTTACTCAGACCGTAAATTTTTCTGGGTATATTGAGCTTAATTAATATGTATATTAGGTCGCCCTAATGTTAATTCCATGATAAGGAAACCTATAGTGGCATAATGGATGTGGCACTCATGTCTTGTGCTCTTCTAGTACAGTGGAAACCATTTGTTAAAAGTAATACTAGCTATGATCTTACATAAATACTTCAAAATTTTTAGCTAAGATAGAAAAATATAAATAATTTTAGCTAAAGGAATTCAAATGTTCATTATTATATGCTTTGAAGTCATTGCAATTTGCAGGACTATCAAGATGTAGTAAAAGCTGTAGATTGAGATGGAAAAATTATCTTGATCCAGACTTGAAAAGGGGACTTCTATCAGAAGATGAAGAGAAGCTTGTTATTGATCTTCATGCTAAGCTTGGAAACAGGTATCTCGTTTGTTGTTATGTACAGTATTGTTCAGTACTACATACCAAATATACCTAAGTACTATTTTTATTTTCATCCCAAATGTTACTGACCTAATAGATTTTCTTTTCAGTTTGATATTATTGAGTTTTGAGTTCTCCTTAAAACGTCAAAAATAGCGACAACATGAGATTTTACCCTTAAAATTTTTTATGTTGGTGAATCATTTGAGAACGCCAAGGGAAATAACCATTCTTGAAAATTCAAATGCTAATTTGAGTTTTAGACGAACCAAATTGCTCGTTTAAAAAGTCGACTTCATTAAGACATGTTGCCCAAATTCTTATATTTTGATAATTATTTTCATATTTAAACAGCATGAAAGTTTAGACTTTTTCTTTTGTGGACATGTTTTTGTGGGCAAATGCCATAATTTACTCATTCAATGTTTTGCAGATGGTCCATGATTGCTTCTCATCTACCTGGAAGAACTGATAGTTGTATAAAGAATCAGTGGAACACGCGCATTAAGAAAAAGCTGATGAATTTAGGGATTGATCCTCTGACCCACAACTCACTGCAGCCTCCGACCACCGATCAACCGTCGGAAAATCAAGAACCACCGTCTCAGGTGGTGGATCAAAACAGAGACCTTGAAACCTCAATGCAATCCACTATTACTGAAGACAAAAGCACGGGTGCAAGCATATTTGAGGATTTGCAATTTCCTCCAGATTTTATTGATTACAGTGAAATCATGTGTGTATTGTGCGATGATTTCAGTAGTTAGGAATTTGATATGAATGGTTTGATATTAATGCAATATAGCTCGATGTGACTAGACTAGACAAGACGGATTTCAAAAAGTCGAGGAGATGAGGTCAAGCACAAACATGCGAGCTTGACCAAACCGAGTCCATGCCGATATGGTTAATTAGACTAGTACAAAATAGATGCCAACACGACCATATTCCAAAATACAACAGCTATGTGTTAGACATATTCACTTTGTATGCAAGTTATGGAATTGGCTCGAGTTTCGTGTAAGCAGTAAGTTCTTGTAGGAGATGAGTTCTCTTTCTTCTCCATATAACCTACAAATGCCATTTCTTCCATATCAAGGCAATTCATTTGGTAAATTATCTTACGAGATCTCCCATCTCAACGGTCAACAAACTAACCATCGTTTTTATTCGAAACCGATAAGGAATTCACATTTCAGAAATCCAAATATTTAAACATGTCACTTTGTTACATGAAACACGCTGAGACGCCCATCGACTAATGCTTAGAGTTTATGTTAAATTTGAATGAAAAATTGGTGAAATAAAATATAATATGCACTCTTCACGTGCAGGGACCAATTGAATAATTGAATGGTCCCAGATTCAGATTGCAGAGACCAAATAAAATATAATTTTGTACTATCCGCGTGCATTTTGTACCGATGGCTCCTGTTAAGTCCCTTGGTAGAGAATTTTTCGCAAAGAAAAAATGAAAATTTAAGTAGAAATTAGAAATAATCAAGTTAAATTAAAAGTTATTAAATATTGGATAGTTTATTTTATCTTGAAAAAAAAAAGCATTCACTAAATAAAGTATGTACAAAAATAAAATAAAAAATCCTCACGAGAGTATGAGCTGAAATTAAAATATAAATTAAATAAATTCAACTCATCTCAAACAAAACTATAAATGATCAATCTCTATCATCGTGCCGACTGAATACGATTGATCGTAAGAACATAATGCTAAAGAACACCAATACAAACAGCATAGCTAAAAAGGTATGGTGGTTTGGATAAATTGCGAAAGACGTTATTTAACATTCACCATACTTGTAACTAGGTTATTGAACTTCGATTTGGTGCAATCGAGCTACTATTTAATATTCAACTTATCTAAAATTTCACTAGGGGTTATTGAACTTTTACCAACTTGTAACTAAGCTAGAAAGCTACTGAACTTCAATTTGATACAATCACACCGTTGTACTTAAATTTACATCAGCACGCTCCATTCGGAGATGGAATTTTTATTCGTCGTAAACATTATAGAGAAAAAATATTCCAAATCGTGATTTCTTTTGGATGCAAGAAATTTGAGGTATTTGATGTTTTTATTTAGTTCCTGTTTTACGCCTATTTTCTAAAATTCACTTTAATAATATTATTTAACACCATTGATCTTGTAACATCAGTCTACATGACATTATGCGATATATTCAATTAAATATGAAATTATCTGACTTATTTAATTAGGTCTCTTATTTAATGTCACTTAATACCACTTAGATAGAAGTTATAGCATTAGTGATGCTAAATAATATTACTCAATTAATTTTTTTCTCAAACTCATTTTCAATCATAGGTTTCTCCTATAAAATAATTTTACACGTGAATTCATAATTTTTTCTTATTTCTTAACCATATGTTCTCAAAATTCACTTTTTACAAAATCTATTCTGAAAAACCCTCTACCAAACATAGGCTTATAAATCTTTTTTAAGTTTTTTGCTCTCCTCATTATGAAATGCAATACAAAGGACAATGCAAGTATGGTCAAAATTTAGTACCTCCAGCTCCAGTGCAATTTACCCCATTTTACCCGTACTAAATTTGTAAAGGACAATGCCAGAAGTAAACTAAAAGGGGACTATGGGACCAATCGATTTAAACATGTGCCAAAAAATGAATGGAAGAAGCAAAGTTTAGGGATTTTTATTTTTTATTCTTTTATATACAAAGACCCAGAACCATAGTTATAAAACCGGCCCGGCCCGGGCGGTCGACCCGAAAAACAAGCAGCCTCGGACCTTGATCGGGCCGAGCAGATTAATTTAATTGAAGGGAAATTACAAAAAATCAAGTGTTTAAATATAGCTTTTTAAAAATC